TTTGTTTTTATTTTTATTTCCGTTAACGAAAATGTTTTTTCACTTCTAGTTTTTATTTCGTTAGTTTTTGTTAACGATAATAACCTTGGTTATATGAGACTTGAAGTCAATTTTCCTTGGATCTGTTAAGATATTAATACTGACTTCATCCACACTGGTGAGTGATTATGCCAGTTATAGAATTCACTCGGGACCATATGAGAGAGGTGTCAGTCCGGTCTGTCCGTCTGTCTGCTTAGTCAGCTGTGTCAGGAAGAGCTGACATGTCCTTCAGAAGAACTTCCACAACAGATGGAAAACCCAGGAGAAGATATGGGGAGGGATGGGGAGGTGGCAGAAGCCAGTGAGAAGTGGGAGGGCTGAAAGAAGAAGAGGATGTGTCATATTTTGATATTCCCACTGTGCCATTTTGGCTTATGAATTTCCATTTTAGAGGGCAGTCAATGTCTGTGACTGCTACATTAGTTTTATGGCCTAAAACAGCTTATTGCAGGCAGCGCCAATGCATATGCGAAATATTTCATTTTGCATCAGAGCCTGCTGAAAAGTTGCTTTGCTAAGAACGAATTTGCAATTCACCGCATTTTGGAGTAAATATCCACCCGGAGTGCGTATGCACTCACGAATATAGCCACGTGTCGTGCTAATAGATTGTCTGGCTGGACTGGAAAAGCGTAATCGTTTATTACTGACACCATCACATGTGTGGGTGCACATCTGTGTGCTTGCACAACGAACCCGAGACGTACACTCACTGGCAAATACACATACCCGCTCCAAGTCTCGCTGTAGGGGGATAACGGCACCGAGCTGAATGAGGCTGAATCATGCTGAATTGTGTGTTCTGACTAAAACCTCAGGGGCAGTAGGCATCTTCTCTCTCTCCTCTTTCCTCTCCTGATTTCAGCAGGACTTTTCAGTCCACCGGCTTTTATGCACGCTTTTCATTAAGAGAAGTACGACATTTGAATGAGCAGTGAAGTGCTACCTGTGTCTGCGTTTGAGAGCTTCACGACTTGTTTCCTTTGTAAGAGAAAAATGAATGTTTGCATGAGATGCAGAACTGCAACATCACCAGGCTGAAAGAAGTAAATGACCAGAGTGGTAACTTGTTAACCACTGTGTTACAATTTTTTGCAGTGTTTAGAATTGTTTTTCAGCCTTGAGTAAAGTTTGTCTGTTTTTCCATCTTAATCTGTGCTTCAGCATCTGACCTTAAAATACAACCCTACAGCTAGACTCACAATGAGCTGCACCGGTCAAGTAAGCCGACACACACACACGAGAACTCTTACTTTTGTAAAGAGGTCTCAGCACAGGAGCAAACTTGGAGGAAGATGTTAACAACTAACAGTTCTGCTTGACTATACAGAGTACACTGCTAGTTCCATGGCATTGTTCATGCTCTGCTAAAAGAGACACTATAGAGCATGGGTGTCAAAGTCATTTTACATTGTGAAGACCAGTGAAACTCCTCTTTCTGTCAGTGTTTTAAGGAATTTAACTGAGGGATTCAATGCGTGGTAACAGCATGTCTGTTTTTCTACATGCTAAATAAATCCTTGTATAGTAAATGGAAGAAATCTGTCAGCACAGCACTTTGGGACGAAACTGTGACCAATAAAAGTGTAAAATTACAGAAAAAGTAACAAGTTTTGTAATAATGAAACAAAGTAAATAATAATGTTTTTGCATGATTTTTTTTCCCTTCTTAGTTTCCTTTTTTTTTTTTAACGATATGGACTAACTTTAAAATATAGACATTTCTATTGTAGATGGTGAAAAATCAGAGACTGTCTGTAGTGTTCTGTTGCAGAGTGTAGCAACTCTGATTAAACACCAAGCTAAACCTCTGTCAATGAATACACGAGTCCGAGTAGAGTTGACTTTTTACTCAGAAT